TATAATTCATCCCCTCGATATTCTGCTTAGCATTTTTCCTCTGCAATATTTTGAGATGATTTAATACTAGTGAAAAACTATACAGAAGTCTCACTAATCACTATAATGTTTCCAAGTTGTCATTAAAATTGTTTTTGAAGTGGAGATGGATAATCATAAATACTGGTTAGCACCTTACTAATCAGTTATGACTTTGTAGCTGTTTCCCATTCCCATTTATCATGACGGTACCATTGGCATGATCATGAAGGCCCCTAAAGCCCACTTTAAAATCTAGACAGATGTATCAAGGGAAAGAATTCTGCAGTACCAGCAAGCAGGGTGCTGAAGGATCATATGTCTAGGCCACTCCCACCAGTGAGCCACAGTGCAATGTCAGAAACAGGAACCACCTCAGGATCTTCTCACAATTCCTCACACTATAGCTGGTAGAAGGGGGCTGGGTAGCTAGAGGAGTTGAAGGCCAAAACATCTGGGGACCCACAGGTTGAGAACCATTGCTCTATGTCTTCCTACCTTGACCTCTCAGTGATATTAATTGATACTCTTAGAAATACTCTAACTCTTCTTCTTTCCTTGAATACTCTCTCAAGCTTCGAAGATGTAGCTAGGTTAGATCAGCTCCTGAGTAACCTTCCCATCTTAGAATGGACCTCCTACAATAAAGCTTAATTTCTTTAACCAAGGTGTTGGTGTATATGCTCCTTAATTCAACATCTCTAAGCACTGCATGCATAATCTGATGGGCCTCTAATCTAATCTTCTTCCTGTGTCAGAAATGGACTTTCTGATTTTGTTTGAATGTAGTCACATCATGCTTCACCATTGATAAGGCCAGCTACCTCTGATTTGAGTTCAGCACCATCTGAAAGGCCAGAATTGTCTTCTGTTTTCCTATAGTATGTTACTGGCAGGGTAAGGGCTGGATGTCATGACCAGATAAAGTTTCCAGATGCTGTTAGCCTTCAAGTTTCCTCAGCCTTGGGTACTCTCGCCAATGGTGAGGAGTGCTCCGACTTGTAGTCCAAAACCGAGAATGCCATGATTCCTACCTTTTCCTCTCAACAGGAAGAAAGACTAGAGACTTAGAGTGCCTTTGTACAACCTGTTTATTTATAAATATACATATTGAGCAAGAGGGAAGATGCAAGCAGCCCAAGGGGGTAAAGGTTCAGCACAGCTTCCATTCTTCCCAAAAGGCAGCAGTACACCTTT